GGGGCTGAAATACAAACAGCCCAGGGGTGATGTTACCGTCAATGTGTGAGTGCGTGTGCCGGCCCTAACTACCGTGCCTCCAGAGTAATAATAAACCTGAAAGGCAACGGGGACGTTACCGTCAATGTGTGAGTGCGTGTGCTGGCCCTGACTGTACCACACTTCCAGAGGAGTAATGAACCCAAGCTGTGGCTGCTGTTAAATAAAACCCATGCACATCTCAGAACAGTCACTCTTGCTTCTCACAGGAAAGAATTGAGAAGAACTTGATCTCCTGCCGCATAGTCCATAATTAGAATAAAGTACATCTTTTACTGAATACATAAAGACTTTTATTCAGATGATATATATTATAGTTCCAACATGTAAGAAATGGGCCCTGGTACCAAATCTCAATTCCAAAGCTTGATGGTCTTGATAATGAATACAATTAACAGTGATGAATACTCACATCCTCAATTGTTAGCACAGAGGGACAAGCAGCGACACCTTAACCTCTGAATCCATTTGTGGAACACTGATGTTTCTGTTTTCATGATGTAAATATTTGCAAATGTGATTCACCCCAGACCCAATCACAGAGTGTTTGTGTGAATATTCTGATTGTTTCTTTAGTTAACAAAATCTAAAACTAACATAGCTAAACTAATCAAATAGCAATGTATTTTTTTTAAAAAAAAGAGAGAAAACATAAAGAAAGATTAACACAACATTAAAAACAAACTGTTATATAGTGCTACGGAAATGCCGATTGCAGCACCGGAAGGCTGTTTTGAGTAAACATGGCTAATGGAATGTGTTTTATGTATGTAAAAAAACAAACAAAAATGCCTCTGCTTCTCGCAGCCTCACAGGTACAACGACTTATGGGCAGTACAGCACATCTCTTCATTTTTAACTATGCTTATCTGACCTTGACTTGTGGACAGGAGGCACAGGCTTTAAGGAAAAGTTATGCTGCTAAAACATCTTTTTTACTTTAATGGGAATTTGCAGTTCTTTTTCTCTTGGTTACATACTATATGATTTATCCATCCATTTTGTACCCCCACTTCTCCTACGCAGGGTTATAGGGGTCCGGACTCCATCCCAGGTATTGAGGTCGAAAGGCACAGAACAACCCTGGATGGGGCGCCAACACCATTCATGCGGCTCTGGGCCATGGGGTCAAGCCAAAAAACCCACAGGAACCTCAGAACAGCACGGAGAGAATGTACAGAAAAAAAACTTGCACACGCGGAGGGCAAACGCAAACCCTAGTCCCAGTGGTGTCACAACAGTGCTAACCTCTGTACCACCGTACCATCTTCTAGCTTTCATATAATAAGTTATAGAAAATTTATTTTACAAATATGCTGGAAAAAAAACACATCGGTCCAATGTGACAGAAGAAAGTAAATAGCTTCTCTTTCTAATGGAATAAAGTGCGATAACACATGTAGCTGTGTTGACTTTTCCGGATTTGCAATTATCTTCATTTTACTTTTACTGATGTGGAAAAATATGCTTGATAATTTATTCTTGTGACTTCAACCTGCTTCTGGTCCGGAAGACATCACTTAAATGAAGATATACGTACAATAACTATTGCGCCTGTGGCCTCTGGGATAGGCTCTGGACCATGGGCGTCGCTAGACCCCTGTTACTGGGGAATGTGGCCCAGTATTTATGTTCTGAGCCCCAGTAAAATCTTATTCAGCTTTCAAAAATCATATGGATAATGGGGGCGGGGGGCCTGTGCCCCAGTACAGCTCTATGTTTAGCAAGGCCCCTATTCCGGACCCCTTGCGACCCTTAATAGGAGGAGCGGTTTCAGAAGATGAATGGATGGATGGATGGAATAACCACCTTCTCCAGAGAGTCAGAAATGGCCTGTCATCTACATTAAGGGTCAGTCACTGTGGTCTTGGGAGCTGAAGGATTTTCTCATTTTCATTCCAGCTGAGTTTTTAATTAATTATTCCTAATTGAGGCATTGATTATATCCATCAAACTATTCAAATCATGTTAAATAAAAATGTATGCTTAATGACATGCTATTATTTTGTAATTGTGTTTAACCAAATTCATGTTAGAACTGGAGAAAATAGAAGTAGATTTTATGAATGTTTTTTTGCTCATTAAAATGAATACTACAGCGTTCAAAATTTTAATTGAATCAATGATTACTTAGCCCTTGAGCGACTTAGTAAGTAATGCCCTTATTATGCTAAATTAAGTTCATTACTATTTTATACTATTTTATTTTGTTTAAGTTCCAGAAATGAACAGATAAAAGGAATAGATTTTATTGGCATGAATACACTTGTAACTGTTAATTATTTATTTTGGTTGAATTCCACTGAAACCCATTTAAAACCTATATAATATAAACTGTATGACAGGATTCAGTCAACATTCAAAGCAATTTACTTGGGAGCCTACTGAGGCAAAAACAGTACATAGCATCTCCAGTACCAGGGTTGGCGACATCTGGTCCATACGCTCTACATCAGCAATGAAGCACCAAACTGCCTGTTCATGCCATCAGTATGCTGTCTCCATTCGGTCATGAAGAGATCTTCCCCATATGTTTATCTATGAATGATGTGCTCTATTGCCTTGATATTTGATATGTGACATGCTTTGTTTTTTTGCCCTGCATAGTGTCATTTCTGCTTGTGCCGCTTCCAGTGACGTGTTGCGAGGCCTTTGGCTCTGACGCAGTCAGACTGAATAGTCATTGAAGAGTCTTCCTTTAGCAGCTGAGATTAAAGGGCAATCACAATGTCAGCTTTCTGAGCTCTCATCCACACTCAACCACTCCCAGTGTCTTCGTGGGCTCTGTCTCCCTTGTTAATGTCCCCATGGTTGGCCCTTAGTTAGACTGGTCTACAAAGTCATGAGATTTTTCAAATAGATTTTTAAAGTCCATTTTCTCACAGTTCCAGAATGTCTTTGTCAGTATTCTGACCAATATTTGTTTCCACCTTGAACATGCTTGTGCTCTGAGCCTAATGACACATCATTGTTTCAGATGTGCAAGATGCCATAATGACATCTGGCCACTATGGCAAAGGTTGGTTCGACTGAATATTAAAATTGAGCTAGTCTCTGGTTTTCACACTGTTAAGGTACCCTATGATTTTTGTTAAAATTGTGAAAAAGCCTTTGTCATTATCATTTCAGTTTTTGTTTTATTAATTTTACTTTTACATAGAAATATATATGCATGTGTACATAAGTTAAAATGCTGTATAAATGAATAACATTGATGCAGAATGGGAAATTATCCTTTTTTTTTTTAGTAAAATTGCATGTCACAGTGAACTGCTACTCAGTGTTTTACCGACATTTACTGGCAGTTATCCAATAACAATGAGGTGTGCGACTTTCTACTGAGACTCTCAGCTGCCTTCAGTGATTTATAGCCAAAGGAGATAACGCTGTGGCTCTGAATATCCCAGCCAGGCCTCATGTAGCTACCCTCATTTTTTTCTTCATGCCATAACACAGTTCTACAGAAGAAAAGACGAAAGAAAGAAATAAATAAGCAAATTAGTTGAGTCAGAGAGACGCCGCTGAGCTTTGATCCGAGTGGCCATCAGAGGGATCCGCTGCTTAAACACAGAGACTTGAGCATGTGCGTATGTCAGATAATGTTCTCTCACATCTCCCTTCCTAGTGTTTAATCCTTCTATTAAAACGTGAGTGTGGATTGCCGGGTTTGCACTGGAAAAATGCCCACTATCACACAGAAATCGGCTGATGGAAGCCAGGTGTCTCCTCTGAAGTTTTCTGTGTATTCTGGAACTGCAGGTAATCCTTACAGTGCTTGCTGAATTAAGTAAAAAGAAAAAAAATGTGGATTAGGCAGTAACATACCATGGTGCTTATTGGATTACTAATAAAACATGTAATGACAGTAATTTAACTCTATAAAATGTAAAGCCATGCCAAATATAAAAGTAGAGACTGCAGCTCTTTATGCATTCCTTAGACTCAATGAGTCGGAGAAACTGCACAAACCATTTATGGCAATAGTGAACAAGTGATTATTAATGCCCCCCTCCCCCAAGCAAAAACAGGCCCGCCCCTCCTGTGAAGAGTGGGGTAAAGCAATGGCCTTCACAGCCGGTCCAGAATCTTTACTGGAACTGTGAGAAAATGGACTTTAAAAATCTATTTGAAAAATCTTTACCCCACTCTTCACAGGAGGGGCGGGCCTGTTTTTGCTTGGGGGAGGGGGGCATTAATAATTTTTATCCATACTATTGAGTTCTAGTATACTTGATGCCAATACTGATTGAAATTAGTAAGCCTTGATTACTGTCTAGTATGGCATGTGATTTCTTGCCATGATGAAGGGGTTGTACTGGATGTCTCAACTGAACTATCACTCAGATCAGATAACCAGCTGTGGAAATGTGGGCAGATGTACCGCAGGCCTTAGGTTAAAGTAAAGGTGTCGACCTGCCTTATCCAGCTCAGTTATGCCTCCTGATTTGGCACCTGTAACTCCCCTCAGGCAAATGAGTCAAATTTCTGACCAAGAGAGACAATGTTGCTTGACACAGCAGCTTTGTTTTGATATGATGATGCCAGTTATTGGAGGTGCAGTTGTCCTGTTTGACCAAAATCCCACACAGGAACAGTAGCTACGTAGCTAATGGAGCAGTTCACCCAAATAATTGTTCTCTGCAGTTGCAAGTCCCAGCATGTCTCAAAATTAAGGGAGCCGAGATCCCAGTGGAAGGTTTTATAGATTGCAGGGATGCGGCTAGTTCCATGGATGAATCTTTTGCACATCCCCATAAGATCCCTCTGAAAGACTGACTGGGTGTTGTCCATTTGGGGTGTAGATAGGTGACCTTTAAGGAAGGTTTTAGTCATTGCTATTACATGTCCCTCAGAATTCAATGTAGGGATCCTCATTAGGGAGACTATTCAGTAACCTGATACCTGTGTTCCATCAGTCATGATAATTTCAGGACTTTTCTGCTTCCACTTACATAACCCACACATAGATTGGGCCTCAGTGGAATTTTCCAAGTGTCTAGTGTAGGCTGTGCTGCCGCTGTAGAGTGGCACCACTAAGGATGTCCGGATGCTTGCCCCTCGTGTTGACTTGTTTAATTTAAAGAGGGCCTCAGTTCTTCCCCTTCACAGGCATTGTGCTATTAGTCTTATCCCCCCTCTGTCTCAGTGGCACCAGCTATAGATGAGTATATTACAGAAGCTCTGGAGTATCATTTCATTCATCACGGACCTCTCCTGTAGCTACTGGCTTTTTCTTTGTGGGGGGAATAAAGGACAGAGGGCTATGGCCTGTATAGACAACCAGAGTCTTAATGAGATTGCAATTAAGAATCATTACCCCTGCCATTGATCCTGTCATCAATTGCAAAGGTTCAGTTGACTTGTATCTTCACTAAACCGGACCTTTGCAGCACCTATAACCTATTTTATATGTGGGAGGGAGAAAAGTGGAAAACAGACTTCCAAACAACCAAAGAGCATTACAAACACTATGAATACTAGTCTTCGGTCTAGTAAGTGCTCCAAATGTGTTTCAGGAGTTTGTAAATGTAGTGCCCCGGGATATACTGAATAGGTTTGTTGTCATTTACCTTCAATGAATCTTTCTTGAAATGACGCCTGAACATGTACATGTTAATATCATGTCTCATGTCAGACCAATTCTTCAGCATTTAATAGGGAATTGGTTGTGTGTCAAGTTGGAGTTACATATATCTATCGTATCATTCCCCGGTTATGTGCTCGTTCCTGAGGATAGGACAGAGGCCCAACTGGTATCTGGCAGGTTGATACTGTTGTTCACTCCTCTGGTTGGACACCAAGTTCCTTAGAGGGCTTTTGTCATAGGGGTGGGTGCCTCAAACACTGGGGGGAGTGTGGTATTGCCATCACATGTGTGGATGCTGGAGAGAATCCATCCATGCACTTTTTTCTCTTGTTGATTGTCCCTTGTGGAACAGAATTATAAGAAAGGAAACAGAATTGCTAGCCATTGAGTTAGCACTGGTGGAATGCTGTCATTGGATAGAGGGGCTTAAATTCCCATTTGTGGAAATGGATCACAAGAATATTAAATATCTTCACTTGACAAAGCACCTGAACCAACAGGATTGATGATCCTGGGTTTCCTACTGATTTCATTCTTACTGTCCAGCAACTAAAACTGTAAATCTAGATGTGCTCCATACACTAAGTCTGGGGACTGAGATCTGGAGAACATTCTGTCTTGCTCTGCTTTTGTGACTTCAGTAAGAGGCCGTAACCAAGGACCAGGAGGCCAACTGGGACACACCACCCCCACCTGAGACACATGTCATTCTGCTGTTATACCCCCAGCCCATGATGGTCTCTTTATGCACCTCCTCGTTTTCAGGCCGCCTGGGAGTAGCTAGAATCTGTCACCTGCTGTCCCTCTGGTTTTGGTAACCTGAATGACGACAGTATGTGTTGGTATTCATCTCAGCTTCTGCCAGCTGTGCATGCAGCAAAACAGCACGACACAACTGCTCCCAGAGCCTAACTGATGTGACAATGGCCCCTCTCTGGTCAACATCTGGGGGATGAGCTAGGCTTTATAATAGAATAATAATAGAATTTCCAAACAATGAGATGGAGGCTTTGAGTAGTGTAAAGTTTATCACAATAAAGTTGCTATAGAATTTCTTTCTGTAGTGTTTATTTTTTATCCTCAATCTGCATATTAAGTAGCTGAAGCCTAATATATACAACCGTACCACATCTTCGGAACCACACAGTTTTTAAAGCATTTCCTCTTGCAGATGGATTAGACGGTATGAAAAGGATTAAGTCCATTGTGAAAAATATTTATGTGAAGCATAAATTCTGAGAATAACTGTAAGACAAATGCAACAAAACAGAAATACTGCATCTATGGCAGCCAAAGATACATAATAACTGAACCGAATATAGTGTGAGCATCTGAGGAAATTCATGTTGCTAGTAGTGGTTACATCATCGTACTGACAAAGGGAACCTTCATTAATCTGTATATTTTAAATTGATTAATTTTGAATACATTGTTGTGCTGGTAAGAATAATTCTGAGACAGAAATTCCAGTTACATATTTCTATTGCTGTTCGAATAGGTCAGTTCTGTTGGGTAAATTAAAATATGCCTTTAACTGCCTACAGTCACACTTGGGTTAGTTTGATTGATAAGTTTACACTTGAGCAAGATTTGACTTTACTGGAGCTCTTCATCCAATCCAGTTATTCAATATGAACCATGAGTATAAACAATAGCATTGAACAAACAAATCTATTCAGGATTAGAAATAAGGACAAGTGTGATGAGAACCTTGAAGGACCCTGGGTGGAATTAATTTACTATAACCACTCAACGTCAATCTTATTCAGGGAAAGAAACATTCATTTCGGCTAATCATTAACATCCTAATGAGAAAAAGGCAATTTGTCGATGCAGTGTGACGGTTTAAATTGTCATTTACCACCATGAAGTTCAACTTCAAACATACAGTTCCATAAGAGTGTGCTTTGGGATCAACCTCACATTTTAATATATGAACAAAAGATTTTGTAGTGTAATTACCAGAAATCACTCTTAGGAATCATAAAGGTAGACAATAATTACTTGTAATTTATGTGACAATGGAGAGACATTTTACATTGATTTCGAAGCTTACCAATGGCATTCTGTCTCATTGTAGTTTATAATAGGTAGGCATATTCAAAAGATGCTTGGATTAGTATCTAAATGTAATTTTAAGTAAGTTTGATTCAGGTGTGTCTTAAATATGTAGCAAGTGATTAGTCTATGTAGAAGGGGTAGTGTATGTTTAAAGAGTAGCACAGCAGCTCAGTGGGAAGTGCTGTGATCTCATACCTCCATAGTTGGTGTTTGAACCCTGCTGGTGTGTGTGGAATTTGAGTTCTCCCCATGTTGTGCTGTGATCTCACACCTCCATGATGGGGGTTTGAACCCTAACTGCTTGCTCTCTGCATGAAGTGTATGTGTTGCACATGCTTCCTCCTGTATTAAGTGCTTTGCTGTCCCCACATTCAGTAGTGCGTTTATTAGCTACACCTGATGTTAAAGCAAACAGCTGCTCCTCCAAACACAGAATCATGTGGCTGAAATTGAATAGATACAGCACAGGGTCAGGAGGTTTAGATATTGTGCCACTAAAATTTCAATAGCTAAGATGTCTGTTTTAGCGATTTTGAACATGGTGTGATTGTGAATTCCATGCATGGTGGTTCCGGCACATCAGAAACAGCCACCTTACAGGGATTTTCACACACTTCAGTGT